CCCTTGCAACTACCTTCCTGGTGCTGGAGCAATGGCAGCAGCACCGGCAGCGGGTACACTACCCAGTCCCGTGCATTAGGCCCAAGCAAGCCTTCCAGGTGCTGGAGCAACCAAATATCTGCTTTAAAATATATATTAAACTTAATTAACCAATTAATTTTTTGGGGGGGTGAAAGGGATAGAACTCGGGTCCTTGCACTTGTGTGGCAGGTGGCAGCACCACTGAGCTAAACCCCGAGCCCATTAATTATTTTTTGATGGTGTTGGGGATTGAATGTTGAATATGCAAAGAGCCTTGACCAAGCTAAGCAGACATTCTGCCGCTGAGCTTCACCCCTAACCCAGTGTACACTTGACATTATTTTAGATTCACTTATGTTCATTATACATGTTGATGGCAGTTAGTGTGATATTTCAGCATAGGCACACCGTATGCACCAATCAAACCCAGCGGACACTTGGTACTGTGTGCACTCCCCCAACCCCCTTGGTGTTCTGCGTGGAATTACCCATGTGGCCTTAGGGATTGATTTAGAAAGAGATGACAAGCTTTACACACTTGAGTCTTCCTGTTTGTCACTACACACACTCAGGTCTCTTACACTCTCCACCTGGTTGTAGAGTTTCCTTTACATCTATCATTTACTTTTCTTGCACCTCTGAGAAAAATTCTATTGATCATGACGCATTTCTAAAATTCAGTAGTAAAGTCATGACGCTAACATTTAAGGTATCTGCGTGTCAGGTTATAAAAAGAGACAGGAAGATGCAAGTTGGTTAAGGGACAATTGATATCACACTGGGGTCATGTCTTCCTCAATGCGTTAGTAGAACTTGCCTCTAAATCTGCCTGGCCTGCTGTCTTTACTTATAAGATATGTCGTTCACCATCGTTCCCATTGCTACCGCTGTCTGGCAGAAGCTACAGAAACAAGCTGAGCTCTTCCAGGTGCATCTGCTCAGTGCCCAGCAGCGGGGGACACAATATGTCCTCTGCCCCCCCTCCAT